AATAAATAATAATAGATCATAAATATTTCAATACAAATCTAAAATTATAATTTTATAATTTAATTAATTTTTAAATTCTTTATATTAAAATATATCAATAATTGTTAATATAAATAAAATTTAAATAAAATAAAATAATACCCACATAAAATAAACATTATTTAATAATAAATTAATATTATTAATAATAATATCGAATATAATCTAATTAATATAATAAAATATAAAAATAAAATTAAAATTAAATAAAATAGGAATTAAATAAATAATATAATAAATAATATTATTAAAATTAATATTTAAAATTTAAATCAAATATCTAAACAAAAAAAAATATTAAAGAGAAAAACAAAAAAAAAGGAACAAGAAATAAAAATCATAAAAAATAAATAGGAAAAAAAAAGAATTTGCCTCCCCCCAACGAGCCCCTGAACGAGCCCCTGAACGACCCCCTGAACTATCTTTGATTAATAATTTTCCAAATACAGGACCGAATCATTGACCACAAAGAAATAATACAAATTTAAAGAAATATAAATTCCCTACGCCAAGGCATCCTTTCTTCATCCCAAAACATCAAGCAAACAAAGATGAACCTCCCTCCCCACCGAATTTCGGGATTTCGGCTTCACCAGTCAACCACACCCCCCACACCCCCAAACTAGTCCTAACTCTCACGTCATTCGCAACAAGCAACTCCAGCCCACCGGCTGGCTTTCATAATCTTTCAGAAGATTTGTGTAACAAATATAGGGTTCATCATTGAAGAATAATGTGGACATGATGATTTTGCACATGCCACGCCGCTGCGGAAAAAGATAACTGCAGCACAAGTTACCACCATGACCCAATATATCTCTATATGACTATATGTTATATGTCTATGTTGGCCAATTTCATATTGGAGGTAGTAAAAGACAAAAACTGAGAAGTGGGGTTATGGTAGCCCCAAACCTCGGCGGGACCGCGGGATATGCTGCAAAAAATGATGTTCCTTGAAACTTCGCCACCATTTCAGAAGCGATATCTTGTCTTCATTGATCTTCTTCTATTTCGAATATTTCTCAAGATTCAAGACTTCAAGACGTCAAGTCAGCAAATATTCTTTGCTGCTCAATTCTGCATGGATATTTGTTGGCTCCTCCCCTTCGGGGAGAGTCATCAAAGTTTCCAGGACTTCCTCACAAGTTCCACAAAGAGTTCATCATCTTCCACTGCCAAAGAAACCTCAGAGTCTCAGAAATGAACATTGGATGAGTCAAAAATTGCTCTGGCAATTTCTTGTCAAATTGTCAAATATAAAATTGTTGCATGTCGGTGCGCACCAAGAATTTTTAACTACCGGCGATGGGGCCCATGAGGCCCACGCATCTTCGTAGTATTGCTTGAAGGCGTCCCACGTAATGCGGCCTTCAGGATGATCCTTAGGGATAAGCCCTGTTGGAACAGCCTGTTGGAACACCCGGCTGGACTGATAGGTGTTGACTCAACGTGAAACCCAGGTTGACTCATCCCGTTGATATGGTACACTGTTGATTCATGTTTGATTCACATAAATGACGTGTATATTATATGTGTACTGTGTATATATATATATATATTATTTCTGTACCATGTTGAATTCTTGTACATATGATTGTTCTATTAGTTATATCATAGCAACTTACATTCTATTATTTTACATTATGTTGTATTCTATCAAATTGTATGACTATATATACACTCTTGATCACTGTTGTACTGTGTTGTATTATATAACAGCCTCTTAATTTATGTGTACTATATTATATCCCGTGTTATGCTATATGAAGTTATGTTGTATGTTTTACTTTGTTGTATCATCTGATATTATGTTATATGATCTCATATGAGCCGCGGCAGATATTGGTACATAGCGCAATTGACGGGGAGTTCCTACCTCGTTCTCCACTCCCGTAACACTTTTTGGGGTCTGACTTCGTTTTCCAACACCGCAGTGGTTTAAATAAATGCTTGACATGCGATGCCTACCTCGTTCTCGGGGTGTTCCTACCTCGTTTTACAGCCTAATTATATATAATTATGATGTTTTCGACAAATCGGGGTACGCCCAAATACTACTCGTAATTTTAACCAAATAAAAGCCACCACTCATATGATCTTACATGATGTTAGATGATGTTATATCATATCATATCATATTTTATTGTATTGTATTATATTACATGATATTGTCTTTTATTGCATAATTACATTGTCCATGTTATACTATAATTATATATAATTATTACGTTATCTAAAGTACTATATCATATCGTAATTATATTATATAACTTATATCAAGTTCATGTTATGTTATCTTGTACCAGAGTGTAATTTTAGATCAGATCATTAAACATATTTATTCTACAAATACTCATATATTGGGGTTTCCTTAAAATCCATGTCAACCGTGGGTTTCAATATGTTTCAATACTAAGTCATGGCCCAATGACTTGGATGATTTGAGGTACCCCGACTTTAAGAAACCCCCGCATATACGGGTATATATGTGTGTATATATATATATATATTTATACGTATATACGTATATGTAGATGATTGTAGATGTATATGTCACCAAACCAGCTAAAGTTCTTGTTCATTACAATTCATATTAAAATTCATTAAAGGGTATCTTTCAGATTCTTCTGAACCTCGATCTCATTTCGATGTATTTTTGCAGCAATTCCAACACGTCTGCGTCGAAGGCTCCAACTCCCATTGCCGCAAGAACTCCTCGCGAGCCTCGTCCAATGACATGGAACCATCCTGAGCCTGGCACGTGCCAACGGTGGAGAAATTGAGGATTTAACAGGATTTCACCATCAAAAATCATCTAAACATATCAACACCATTCATGGACAATAGGATTATAATGGATTATATATGATTTCAATCTGAGAACAATATGATCATGTGATTTCATTCATCTCCGAAAGCGCGGAAAAAAAAAGATGTCGTTCGCACGCGCCTTTGGGAAAGCTTCTGCTCGAAACAAGCGCCTGAAGCTCTTCCAAATGGTTTCTCATTAAAAAAATAAACATCTGGTTAATATATAGGATTTATATAACCATAGTAAGCTTAGTAAACATTAGTAAACCATAATACCACGTCACTCTTATTATCTCAAAAAACATCAAAAGTCGACCAGATTTTCGATGCCAGGCAGCTGAAGATGCGTGATGTCCACCATAGCTGCAATGGCACTGTCCTGTCGTGGACAGCGGCGGATCGGATGCCGAGATATGCCGAGTCACAGTGAGGACGTCCTCGAGCTTCTTCCAAGCATCTTTCACTGCTTCTAATCTGAAGTTCGACATGCTTGCACCCATCCTCAGGCTAGTGACTCCAAAGAATTCGTCTAAAGCACTGAATTATGACAAAGGCCCACCAAAATATCACAAAACTAGGATAAATATGGATAAATCAGGTGTCAATATGAGAGGCACATAGAAGCCACACGCCAAGGCCACTCCTTTCCCAAGGCCACCAAGGCCACCAATGTCACCGAGGCCGCCACAAGCGCAAAAAGCGATGGTAGTTGATCAGGTCGCGACCTGCGAATCAGCAGGAGTTGAAGGGTGACTCACGTTTTGACCTTCAATAATTCATCAGAATTTCACAAGAAATAGTATGAAATGGCACTGAAATAGCAATAAAACATGAATCGAAACTATGATTCAACTTGATGTGATCTCTGAGTGACTCGCCCTCCTCTGTCAACTGTCCAGTCTCATCACATCCAAAGAGCCTAAGTTTGTCACTCTGGAGTTCTAGGCATGACATGCTACACACCAAAAATGGGTTTGTCTGAAGATAGGGCGCCCAAAAATCTCAGGGTTTATCCTCATGTTTGCTATGAAAATTGCTGGGGTATCTCACATCTCTCTCCATTTTCAGACAGACCCATATCAGGAAAGCTGCGCCAAACTTCAGTTCCTGGCGTTTGCAACTGATTTGCTTCCTCCCTGGTGAGACGGATACAGACCTGAGGACATCCCCAGGCAGACCCAGGAGCCCAGCGATTGGGAACTGAGGTGAGAGCCCAAGACAAAAGGCCATGAAAAATGTGGCTGCCTCAAAGGTACCCGGAAGTTCCCGGAGGGTTCGTCCCAGGGTGCCTTGATGATCCACCATAATCAACCATGATGACGCATGGAAGTAAGTTCCCCACGGATCACCCCCGTGCCCTGGCGTTCCAAGCGATCCCATGAGTGTTTCGGTTGTGATGTTTGTTGTGAATCTGCCTGCTCGTCAGCGGCCGCACACATACGACGAAGCCTGCAACCGCCATCATCAGTGGCTAGTACTAATAGTACTGAAATGTACTGAAGGATTTGTGGGATGCGAAGTCTTACTGTCAGAATGTCAGGATGCCTTCTGATCATGTGCATGTCTCTATGGCGCAGAATGGGGTAGATTCGCCTCAGTCAGTGGCAAACAGTCTGCAAAGATCTGCCGCTTCTGCCACTGTGACCACTGTGACCACTGCGACCCAGCGACGTGAGGACAGCGTAGCGATTTTCTCCTGCCCCATTGGCCTTGCATGTTGGCATGGCAAGTCCCAAATGGTCACCGACAACCAATGGTCCAGATATGTCCAGATCAGAGTTTTGGATCCTTGGGCAATGACATCCAGATGTGCTAGTTGAGCCTCGGCACGATACCTGGGTGTCAACTGTCAATCTGAGCATTGGTAAATGGTCAGAGAACAGTACTGGGCCAAGGGCAATGGGTCCTTCAACATGGCAACCTCACAGGCTCTGCCACATCTGGCAGTCCACACAAACTGTATAAAGAATCCTTTAAAATGGACAATTGGTTGTGTAAGCTGAGACCTTTGCAGGGTCAACCTTGTAGACTGAACCTCCAGAAGCTCGCTGGCACACTCAAGACATCCTTGAAAATGCATGAAATCATTCAGAAGCATCCTGTTCTGTTCAAAAGGGCTGCTGAAAAAGCTGCCTCCATTCGTGATCTCCAGCCCATTCTTTTCCTGTCCAATTTGCGAAGCCCATGGCAGTCGAGGCACAGCACAACGTTGCAGAACATCCGTGCCTTGGCGGCAACAATCACCTGATCGGACCAGCGGTCGTCCACAAATGCCCTGGGCCACGGTATCACCGCAACTGAAGGAAAAACTGGGACTGGCTATGGGTCAAAATTAAAGACCTGGGGGACTGCAGATTTTAGATGATTTTAGATGATTTTAGATGATTTTAGATGATTTTAGATGATTTTAGATGATTTTAGATGATTTTAGTCCGTTTTTGGTATTAAATAACATGTATTAACCATCCAATGATTGGGGTACCCAATATTGACCCATGCCGGGCCCATACCTATATGAAACTGATGAAAGAGGGCACAAGGACCCAGACCACTCGAAGCTTCTACCTCTGTCCGCTTGACCTCAAAAGAAAAGCGCTCATCGCATTCCAGGGAGCATTGATCGCGGGTCAATTCCATGAAATTCCACTGATCGCAAATCAAACCAAGCTACCTCCAGGTATGTGACCCTTGGCCGCGAAGACTTTGTACCTTCCATGAAATCCATCGTCGCTCTTCACTGACTTTTTTGGAGCACACTGCATATTCTGCTGTCTGAGGCACTCATTGCCATAGCTTGTCATCACAACCACTGTATTGGACCTTGAGTGTTGGAAAGAGGAATCACTTGAAAAATAATTTGATACTGGCATATATTGGCTGCTGAATTAGTCCTCAGCAGATGTAGCACAACCGAGCACAACTCCATCAACAGGAGGCCGGCGAACTCGTGTCCAAGTTCCCAGCTGCAACTCAAAACCAGTCGCTACACTTTCCTGGTTCGGGACAGCCCCATGGCAGCTTTCCAACGGAAAAAATCCCCGAGTCCAGCCGAAAATTGCCAGCTGCCATTGCCTTTTTCCGCTGTGCAGTCTTGCAACAGTGCTAGAGCTAAGATGTCGAGAAGTCCGTTGCTGCCAAAGCAGCTTCAAAGCAGCCCATCGACGCATCGCCGCATCATCTACTCATCGGGAACCATGTTTCTGGTCTTTTTCTACACAGGTACCATTCTTCCAAGTGCACTCACCGTGGCACCACTGCTCACCTGAGAGATTTGCCCAAAGGCAGTGACAAACAAGCTGCTTCGCGCTCGCATTTTTTTTAACTGTGAAAGCTTCAGGTGTCCCAAAATGGTGAGCCTCAACTCAAAACATCTCAAAAGCAAAAAAGCACCCCAGAAATCCCCAGAACTTGGTTCAACCGGAGTGGCCACTGTTTTTGGGCTTCACAATTTTGAGACCGAAAAAAAGGGCACCACAACTGGGCCAGCGGACCATTGCCCTGCGGACATTTCGAGCAGTCTGGGGCCGTATGGGCACCACAACTCACCTAACTAAGGCAACGTGGGGGCCAAATCCACGCCAGCCAACGGACCATCCAATGGACTAGTAATGACCAGTATGTATATATATATATTGTATATATATATATTGTATATATATATTGTATATAATATATATATATATACATATATATATATGTACAATATATTATAATAGTAATGACCTTAATATTACACATTATCCAATATTATATAGTATACCATTAATATGACATGTATACAATATCAGACAATATCATACAACTGTGTATCACACAGTTTGCAAGCAAACAAAGGCCGTCAAGTGAGGTGGATATCTAAACCATACACGGACGCTGCTGCATCGTGGCCCAATTTTTTGATGAAAGGCTGAGATGCAGCCAGGGAACAGATCGGGCGTTGGATTTCAGAACACAAGCATCTTGATGCCTAGCTGACCAGCTTCCGATCTGGTCAACCCCCGAGGCTTGGGTGATGATGATTGGCTCCTTTAAAACTCCCATAGAATCCCAGAATTTGCATCAGTTTGCTCAAATCAATAGACTGAAACCAACCAGGGGTCAACATTCATCAATTGGGTGTGCCTAAAAATGGTACCCTAAATCAGGTGGTTTGTCATCATTCCTTCTATCACAGTACAGTATCCGTTTTGGGGGTAAACGCATCATTTTCAGACAGACCCAAATCATGGTGTGGAAAGTTGTCCCATTAAATCCCCATGATGATTGATTCATCCCACCATTTTTAGTGCAATTTCACCTCTTGAGCAGTGTTCGGTGATAATCCGAACATATTGGATAGCACAGCCGCATAGCCCCTTAAATAATCATCAACCAAAAGGCGCCTTGAACATAGCGAGCCATTGAGCCATTGAAGGTAGCCCCGTCCTTACTATTATGGCTTATCATGATTCATCATGATTCCATACTCCCAATTAGGTCGGCTCACAGGTCCCAACAGAAATTCAACAGACAAATTATGAAAAATTCCCCAATCAACCAGGGCGGTAGAACATGGTAGAACTCGGTATGTCCCCGGTATCATGGCGCTCCCTTCATCGTCAGGCTGCCACATGCAGTCGCCATTGCACCACTCGGCTCCATGGCCCTGCGGGCATGCTGAGCAATCCCCTGCTCGATGGTGGCCGCAGTTCACTGTTTCAACTTCCTGGGCCACGAATCGATGAAAAATGATGAAAATAAGCTCCATACATCCGGTTTTCATCATGTTTGATTGAGTTCAAGGGCACATATGAAATGGATATTTGGAGGAGGGGGTTGCACTGGACATTACACTTCTACTTGAATTGTCAGCTACTCTGTAGTGGCTGACAGGATGCTGTTTTCTGGAGGAATGCCCTCATATTAGCACTTTGCACAGTTCGAGCCGCTGTTTTCACTGGGCCTCCCAGCGGCTTTGGAGCGTCTTGGCGGTACCTGCTTCTTGATGCAAGATCCCTGCCTCCTTGGTCGCAACATTCATCAAACAATTCCAAGGTTGAGCTCATTGAAATGCTTGATGGCACGAAGAGAAAGAAAGGTGGCAAGCGGAAATTTCAACCAGATCGGCTACTCCGCGAGTAATATATATATATATACGAACTCCAAAGTTGTCAATCCCCAGAAACAGGAGCATGCCTATAAACAATTCTAAACTTTCTCCTGGATTTCAGGCCGCATCCCAATCTTAGCTGCTGAGAGTCCAGAGACATTCTCCGTTGCACCAGGAAGATCCATGTCCTTGAGGGCACTCGGAACAATGGTGAGCTTGATGCCCTCCACAATCCACCCAAGGAACGTCCTGATGGCGAGAAACATCGAAAAACTAAGCAAACTCTGCCAACCAAACGCCAAACGCCAATGTTCCACCCAAGCGAAATCGGCCAACAAGGCCAAACTGGGTTTGATGTTTGCTTCATGATCTTCATGTTGTTTCTGCTGGATGCTGCGAGTGCTTAGCAACTACTGAAGCTGAGAACAACATCTGCGAGGACTTAATGAATAAATGATTTATACTTACACTGGTGGGGGGTTCTTTTGCCAGGGCGAGACCGTAAATCCGCATGTCTCAGCTTTCAGTCAAGGCCTACTGAAACCATTCTTTGACATGTGCGTCTGATTTTTTGCGCTGTGAATAGCTCCCCTGCTTTGAACAGTTCTGACCCCCAATGGGTTGTTTCGAGAAATCACAGAAAATCTTCCAATGCAGCCGCGTTTCCTTACTGGCTCTGCATTGGCCGTTGTACCACGAGCAATCACCACTGCAGCCCTCTCCTTCGGAAGAATCACCTGGCGTCGGCAGCCGCAGCTCCCTATTCCAGGGGAAGCTCCAAGAAGGTCCTGCCTTCCACACAGTCTGCACAGGAGGTTGCATCATGTGAACCACAATTCACCCTGGCAGCCGTACCGCGCGGGCGGAGCAGACTTTCAGACTGGCTGGCGGCTACAGTATCTGGGATTGTCTGAAATAGGGTACCCCAAAGTCCCATAGTTGAGGATTGTCGCTTTCCCGGCTTTCCCTAGCAAAATTGCAATTCGGGGCTGAAATCATCCATTTTCAGACACACCCATCTGCTTCTCTTGTTCCTTTGCAAAAATATGTTTAGCTCCATCAATTCCACGTCCAAGCTTCCGGTTGAAGTTCATTGCCGGAATTTGGTCTTGGCCAACTTTGAGCAGCGTAAGGCGAAGATCATCATAGAGTGCCTCAGGTCTGCACATCTGCACGGGCTCAAAGTGGGGAACCATCAAGGCCGTCTGAGAATGCTGCGCCATCTGCCGCTAAAGGCCTTGAGCTTTGACCAAACAGCCCACATCGAGGGCCTAGAGCGAGCACATAGGCTACGATACCACCTGCTCAATGGTGGAGCTATGGGCGGCTACGGGTATTTGCCAGACTTTTACTGCAACTGAGTGGTTTAACCAACAACAAGCGTTCAATTTAGCATTCCGCAAAATAAATGGAAAAGCTCATGGCTCATGACTCAGCCAGGTTTTGCAACTTTCTCAGGCCTTCTGTTGAGGAGCAGAAGGATGCATCTTGAACACGTGGGGCGTACTGCCTCGCATCTTCAACACAAAATCCGCAGCTGTTCTCACGTCAAAGTCTGGTCACTCCAAGAACTGCAGCTGAGGTGCTTCAAAGTCTCCAAATGATTGGAAGATGGCGCTGATGCTGCCGAGGCCTGACTGTCTCACCATCCAGCTCTCCCCTGACTGAGAAACCAGCTAGGCCATGCCGGCTGCCCGCCCTGCCGGCCCTGCCAGCCCTGCCTCTAAAGAAGGCCCCACGACGTGTTGCCTCAGAATCGAGATGCTAATTAGATGCTAGTTCCAATGCTTTGTGGCCTGATTCTAATGGGTTCCACTGCTTTCTTGCCACTGAATTCCACTAGATCCGCGTTGGCGGATGCTAATTTCTCACATACTAAGTTACTAGGAACTCGATGGATTTTGTAGACATACAGTACCTCTGATGCTTCGACACGAAATCTTCCCAACAGCCTTGCTCCACTCATGATGACCCTTGATCCTCATCAGACTAAGGTCTTCACCGGATGGCGAGCACCAGCCAGTCGAGGCTTTGATAAACAGGCAGGGACAATGCTCCCGACACTCCTGAGCTCTGCCGCTGTGCCACTAACTTGGGGTCCCAAACCGTGGCTTCCTGCTCTTTCCTGTGCTGAATTTACTGAATGGGATGATTTTGAAGGATTTGGGTGATCTCATCTCAATTTCTGGACAATACCTATCTTATATTTGATCCAAATTCAGCTTTGCCGGTCTGTCCTGTTGCTTGGAACGCCAGGATTGCTGTCCTTGGGGACGCGCACATGCGGCACGGCAGGTCCGAGAGATTCTGAAGTGCTTCATCCAAGGTTCAGAATCGCAGTCCACGCAGGAAGGGCCATGGCCAGGGGAAGATTCCAGTGACAGACTTGCGGATTGAGCTGTTGGGGATCGTCTGCAAAGCATCCAAAGACCCAAAGATCTTTCTAGAGATGGGCACTGCTTGGTAAATACACACAGATCTGAGGTCAGGAAAAGACTTCGGTGCTAGTAATATCATCTCTAGACTCTAGCATCGACTAAGTTTCTGAACCTTCTTGCCCTGGGCCGAAAAGTGTGAAGTGAGTGCCAGATCTGAATTGACCCCAGGTTTCTCCCAGAGTTTCTCTGTGAACTGAGCCGGACTTGAACATCTAACATGACCAGTGAGCCGATGCAAAAGAGCCGGGCACGCCAAACAGATCGAATCTCCAAGCTTCACCCTGTCATCCTCCTCCTCCGGAGACCTGGTACAGTCGCTTTTCCCAAAATGGGAGGTTGCTCCAAATCATCCATTTGTTGTTTGGGAATGTCCCATGGATTTTCCATGTTTAACCATCCATTCTGGTACCCCAATTTCAGGAAAACTCCACGTTAAAACAACTAAAATGAAGGATAACCCCACAGTCGATGGGCTCCAACCAGTCGCCTGGAGTCACTTTGCGTACGGATTGGGCGAAGGCGCCAATGCCTGACCAAGGACATCCAAGGACATCCAAGGACCAATTTCTTGAGTTCCCCAAATCTACCAAGGGAAACGCCCTAGATATCCCTAGATCAACTGTCCCACATCAATTCACCTTATGATTTTGGGATTCTCATAGATTACCCCCCAGGGGGACACAAAACGAAGCCAGCTGGACGATCCAGAAGCAGCTCGCGGGCAAACGCAGAGTTGTGGCTCCTCATCGCGTGACAAACCAGTTGGGATTCTCCGCAAATCGCGTGGATTTACATGGTTTTAAAACAATTTTATGGGACATGAAGCACGAATGTTGAAATGATGATCAACCAGAATCATGGAGGTAAAGTGGCCATTGTCAACCACAAACAGTTAATTGTATACCAATGTCATCTTCAAAATGATGAAAATATCATAAATATTATTAACCACTTTCAATATTTGCGGTATCCTATTTTTCGAGAAGTCCGTGTCAGAGTTGCGCCTCGTCTTTGGAGTTTCCACCTCAATAGGTCAATGCTATACTCTATGCATTGATGCATAACATTTCAAAACCAGTTCCTGTCTACGACTCATTCCATACGCGGTATACAAAGGTGAGAAGTCACCCACCTAAACCGAAACTTCAGGCAGACACCTCAACCCAGAACAACTACCTGGCTCTAAGACTGGGGTTCGCGCTTGCGAAGAGGTAGTGAGGACGCTCATGCAAACCCTCGTGAGTCCTGCTGAGGATTTGATCCGCCAAACGTCTGCAGCAAACCCAACAAAATAAACCTCGAATTCAGAATGGCTAGAAAAGGCGTTAAGAAATCGCATATTTCTAGTAAATTTGGGGATACTACACTACTGGATATGGATTTACCTTAGTGATGATTTAGTCATGATTTCGTGATGATTTAGTTATGATTTCGTGATGGATTTCGTGATGATTGTGTGATTGATGATTCGTGACGATTTAGTAGTGATTTACTGATGGTTTAGTCATGATTTCACGATGATTTCGCAATGATTTCGTGATGTTTTCGAGATGATTTAATGATGATTTCTTGATCATGTTGATGATTTAGTGATGATGTGGTGATGATTTCGTTATGGTTATATAAGTTATATATGTTTATTCCCCAATAAACCTCCATTTGCCAAAAGAAAATATGTACTTCACCAGCTCCCCCCGCGCTCCCAAGTCGGATGAGCTGATCGAAGTGGAGCCGATCATCCCGCCCGAAGCGATCGTTGTCGTCAACACGACAAACCGTGAGATTGGTCCTGGTCATGACATTGGTTAATCTGAAAATGTGGGGAAAATAGGGGAAAATCACAAAAATTGGTTGGTTTTTCCCATATTTTCCCTATGAACAATGGCCGTTTGGAAGGGTATACCGTACCATCCAAACGGCCATGTGTCCCCATTTTCAATCACACCCACAGGTGCCACATCGATGTTTCACTGAAACATGAAGTACCAATGAAAATCCCATCCCCCGAAAGTTAAGCATTGATTTACTATTGGATTGCTTTTCATTTGGGTTCCCATACTTGGGGTGTTGAATCTTGATGGAATTAGGAAAATCATGGAACATCTATTTCCGGGACTTGGTAGCACATCCAGCATGATCTTTTCTGTCCTGGGACAGGATGTGATCACACTCCCTGTGGACAATCCGTAACCAATGGCCTGCAACATGGCACAAATCCAAGGATTTGGATTGAGAGCATCCTGGAATATCTCCAATTGGAAGCCAGGCCTCTGTTGATCCAGCGCTCACCTTGGAAAGTCTTCAACATGTCCATACGTTCTATGGTTTTTTCGAGGTGATCGATCAAAATTCATGCGAAATCTCCAGTTCCAAGGTTCACCATCATGTGTCCCTTTGCTTTAAGACCATAATTGGGGTCCCGTCTCGACAACCCCAAGTCATATCAAGTTGGTTATATCCCCCATATATGATATATCCCCATAATCGGAGGAAGTTTAGAAGTCAAACTTCCGACTTATGGACAGATGCAACAAGAGTGGTGAGAGCAGTCAGAGAAGAGAAAGAGACAGAAGAGAAAGAGTCAGTAGACAGAAGATCAAGGTGCATGAAAAGGATAAGAAGATAGAAAAGTCGCGAGGCACTGCGTTTTTCCAATGTTTTGTGACCCCGGAGGGTCGAAAAGTAGGCTCGCTAAAGCGGCGGGTGCGGAGCCATGTGGGAAGATTGGAAATGAAAAATTGCACGCCGTTGTCGCGCGAAGCAGATTTATAAGTCAAAATGCAAAAAAGGCCTCATTGTCCGAACATGTCCGAACACTTTTGGACGTTGAGGTGTGGAAAAAGTGCACGCAGCTGTGGCGCGAAACACATTTCGACGTGACAATGTTAAAAACACACAAAAACACCACATGTCTGGGCCGTTTTTTGACGTTGAGATGTCGAAAAAGTGCACGCCGTTGTGGCGGGGAGCACACTAGCCAGTCAAAATCCGCGAAACACACCACATGCGAACCACTTTTGGACGTTGAACCTACTTTACAACTACAACTACAACTGCAACTACCACTACCACTACAACTACAACAACACGACACTACACTCCAACTCCAACTCCAACTCCAACTCCAACTCCAACTCCAACTCCAACTACACTACTTTACAACTACAACTACAACTACAACTACATTTACATTACACTACAACCACACTACACTACACCAAGCAGTTGTGCATCCGGTGACCACTGCAACCACTCCAAAAAGCACAACTCCAGCCACCTTTCGGTCCATCAGTGGGTTCGCTCTGACATCCATGCATCGCAACAACAAACCTCTCCTACAGGTTTCCGATTTTTGAAACTTCTGCCACCGCCTTGTGCGATACTATGTTATCTCCATTGTATCCCAATTATGGCCTTGTGTGGGTGTTACATTATATATATAATCCCTATGATATCCCCATGGTAAAAATCCGTTTGTCAGGTCATATCCCCATTTATCCCCATTGAATATCCCAATCAATGTGCGTGATACTGAGGACCACCCTGCTGGCGCAATGAATCATCCAACATCCCTGGCTGAAAATGGCTGGTTGGTATCATGTTATATCTCCATATGGAGGTGTCCTGAAATGGGGGTACCCCTAAATCATCCATTTTTGTTTGGGATTTTCCGTTATAAACCATCCAGCTATTGGGGTACCTCCATGACTATGGAAACCTCCATATTCCCTATATTCCCAATCTTCCGTTGATGTTTTTCCCTTCACACCCAAGGCGTCCAGGCGTCCAATTCATGTCAAAAGCAAGGCGCCGTGGTTTCTGCTGCGTCGACTTGTAACAAACCACGTGTGCAAGCCTGTCAGAACATCAAGGGTGACCACATTGGTATATCCCAATTCAATGCTAGCTGCTAGTCAATGGGGAAACTCATGATCAACCAGAAGATGGAATGGGATAGCCAATTCAAACCAGCCATTTGGCCCACCAAAAGAATGCGGCCTCTGTCATGGTCCAAGAATGAAGCACCCCAAAATGCAGTTTTTGGACAGCTCCCCTTGTCCAGTCTGGTGCATCTGCGGTTCTTGAGCTTCCCCACACTTCGCAGTGTGAGCATGTCACCGAAGTGCACGTAACCATCACCACCATTCGTTGTGGGGACAGGCCTTGCAGCAATAGACGATTGGTGTCATGGCAAATCTGCAGGAACCCCCCCAATAGCAATTCCTGATGGTCTCTTCTAAAATAGCCATTTGGGGTACGCAATCATATTAAAATAATTTAAAATATATGAAATTCCACATTTTCAGACACATTTCTTTCACTCTCTGAGACTCCGACACTAGTGTGTGTTTCAGAGTTTGCACAGCACCTTGCAGAACGACGGTATGCTGCTTCTGACCTGAGCATGTGCTTGGAGGAGGCACCACCGCAATGTCTGAAAAACAGGCTACTGATCTGAGTCCGCCGCAAAGATATTCTTGCAGATTTTGTTCCTCCACCTGAAACAGCAAGGATCATTTGGGACATGTTGCAGTCATTTGTTTGGAGTAGCTGGTACAGTAGTTGGTTTGTATCATTTCAAGTAATCTTTTGCCTTTACGAGTTTGCCAGAAACTAGGGTACCAAAAAAAACACAATTGGATAGTGAACATGTTCATTAAAGTTGCCATTGACTGGGTTACAGCCCATTTTCAGACACACCAAAAAATGCTGTTGTCAGAGCCAGAATGCGAGCCAGTTGCACCTTGACGCTCTCGGTCCAATGTTCCATTGCTACTGAGCAACAATTTGAAGCCAAGCGTTTGCATCTTTTTAGATCCTGATTCAGAGATATTCAGAGTAACGATAGAAATGTGTTTAGTTTTATCTAGACTCCTAGACCATCTCCCCCATATTTAAGGTAATCCTTTGCTGAAAATAATTTGTCTCGAATTTCAATGACCTATCTACACGGCAACGCAAGTCACAAGTTGAAATCTGGTACGAGTAATCAGTTGTATATCCCTACAATACTTCAGCACTTCTTGTGCTGAAAATGTGCTGAACAGCTGCGTGTTGACATCCGTTTTGAAGATTTGACATGTTTTGACGATTCGAACAGGTTATTGACTCAGCGGCCAAGAGGACCACTATTTTTTCACTGCGTTCGCATGCGCAGAAGTTCGCTGGCCACGGTCCGCACTGGGGTGCTTCGCCTAGGCAATTGACAATCATGGGGCTCGTAACACCGCCATGCTTGTCACATGGTGCCTGTAAAGATTATGTTGCAGGAGTCCTGTGATGCTTGGTACCTCCATCTTCCATGCATTGGTGGTCTGAGATTTCTATATGGTACAAATTGACCACCATAGCAATTTTGTCCGTGGATTTCACAAATGCGAAGAAGTGTGAATTCACATCCCTTTGCATATCATGCTCGCTCTCTTTGCTTACATAAGCAGGTTCTTCCTCCCTCCCAGTGTGATATCCATCCAGCTCTCTTTTCAGCTCGAAATGGCATTCTCCCAGCCAGACAGTAGCTCTTTGGCCGATAAGACTTCACTGGCCGCAACATCATCACCACGCCGACCCAAATGTGCAATTCGTTGGAAGGTCAGTTTCCCAAGCTCTTGCAGAAAATGCCCAACTGTCAGCAATCGTTTGTGCCATTGAGTCCACTCTTCATAGGCATTCATCATATCAGGCTCCTGAAGTAGCAAGAAACGCTCCTGCGGGGGGCTGGATGACAAGTTGAGCATTGCAACCATATCTGTCGGCAAATCCTCCCGGCTCATGGCCTGAAATCCCAGTGCTCGCAGGAACAGCCAAACACCGGGCTGGCGCCCAAGGCGTTCCTGAAAGCCTTCGTTTCGGATTCGGATCAGTCGCAAGCGGACGTCTGCTGGTTCCGCGGCAATGGAAGTGACCATATTCTCAAGACCTTCGATGATGCCTCGATAAACTCCCATTGAAGCTGCCAACATCGATGACAAAGCCTCTGCACAGGCAGCATTGGCCCCAAGCTTTGAGATCTTGACATCTGACTCTTTTTCCATTCGCAGCAAGGCATCTTCAACGGCCAATCTGGCAGCTTCTTTCTCCTGTTCCTGTCGCAGTTCTTCCTCTCGTTTGAGCCAGGCAGCTTCTTCCATTGCTCGTTGGGCATCCATCTTTCTCTGGTTGTCTGATAGCAGTTCCTCAAGAGGCTTTCCTTAGGTGAGTTGAGAGTGAAAGGCCGAGCTTTTGAGATGAATTCAGACAAAGAAAATTGTCAAACATACGTAGATGCTAAATAGCCCACAGTGTACAGGGAACTTGCAGTGTTTTTGCAACTTTAAAATTGCATAAAATTGCCTATGTCATCCTGTCTCTATTTGGGAGCCCAATAGACAAACACAAGCCAAAGTAGCCCAGCTTTGCGAACCTGAGACTAGGTTGGTGCCAGATTGGGAGCGAAATCCGAGCACTGTTGACCCACCCCCATCCCGAACCAACCCATCCCATCCGGGAAATCTAAATGGATTTGTCCAAGGAGGGGGCACCCGCAAAACCCACGTACACATTCTGATGTTATCACGTGATATCCCCTCGATATTCCCTTGATATCCCATTGATATCCCCACTGCAGTATGACTGGTTTTATTCGGTTTGATACCCCACTTTTTGAAGTCAATCCAGAATTATCAGGCGAAATCCCCATCCAAATATAATGAAGAAAAACATGGAAAAAAAGCATCAAGATCGAAAGAACATGACAAATCCATACGAATCCCATGATGTTCATTGGAATGTTCATTGGAATTTATCCCATTTTCGTCATTTTTCTTCCAGCTTCTGGCGGCTTCCTGCGCTTCCCGTTCCTTCGCTTCCTCTTCCGCCTGCCGTTGCCGGTGGCGCTCCGCCTCCGACGCCGCGGCCCGGTGGTCCAGCTGCCGCACCAAGGGCTCCAGCTGAGGCCGCAGGGCCTCGAAGCAGCTCCGGGCCTTCGCCAGGCGCAGCAACAACTCACGGACCTTCTCGGCCATTTTCACACCATACGTTGCCTGAAGGAGGCGGTTGGGGCGGTTGAGGTATGGCTGGGGATGGCTGGGGAGTATGGTTGGAGGTGGTGAAGGTTGAGCCAAGTCAGAAATATGAGGGAATAGCATGGAATAGCTGGGATTCAGATGGAAAATCTTCAAAAAAATCGTTGAAACCACCAACGAGTTGCGGTGGCTTCGAGATCCAAGGCTTTGGAAAGGATTTCTTGGACTGATTCGAAACCGGAAACCTGGCCATCTACCAGTTCCTGCGCTTTTTTCATGCATTCTTCGGGCGAACATGGAGGTAGAAGAGCTCGCAACTCCTCCTTCAACTTTTCCAGTTCACTTCGAGCATCACATCGGCGTTGCATCTTCTCAGCTACCGGGGAGAGTTCGTTGAATTGCTTCTCTACCTGGCGTTGTTTCAAAATGGTGGATAGACCAAGATATCGCCACAAAAAAAAATGAAACAATGGAGAAAAGGATGATAAACTATGATGATATGTGATATAATTATTATATATTATTATGATATAACATGATATAACTTGTAGCTGATAAAACCATTGGGATCAGAATTTTCCATGGTTTTCCCAAGGATTCCCAAGGTATGTTCAGCTCACCTCTGTCCAACGTGCGTGCGACTCAGCTGGCAACTCACCTTGCTCCGCCAGCTTCACATCTCCCTGCAGTTCTTCGATGAGCTTCTCAACAGTCTCAACCGCAGCGGAGGCTTTGCGAAATTCCGTCATTGCACATGGAGACCTATGGATTCGATCAATATTTTACAAGTTTTCGATAGTTCTATGATTTTCGATTTTACGATATTTATATACGTCCATGATATGAATTTCTATGCTAGACATGCAGACATGTTGCTTTATTCCAAGATTTCACAGCATGTATGTTTAGATCACGATGATACGGTTTGGCTTAGAACTAGCCAAAAGCTCGGAAGAGTTGTTCGTGGTCCAAACTTTGTGGCGAATTGGTGATGACAGCAATGACGGACTTGTGTGGAGTTGATTCGTGTCGCTATGTGTTGCTTTCAAAGAAGCTGAAGTGCCCAAGCTGCCTGGAAAAGCATGTGGCCTTCCAAAGTCTGCATGTCTTTCTGCTGAGTAACCCTGAAGAAATGTCGTCTCACTGTTGTCCTACCCAAAGAGACCAATATAATTGATATATAATTGATCAATTTCTGTTGGTTCTTGGATTCAGGGGCATCCAATCATCCAATCTGCACCATCCAGACACTACCATTCTCAGACAGCAGATCGCCTCTTGGAGAGAGCTTTCCTGACGGAACGGGGTGACCCCCTTCGTTTCTGGGCAGCCTGGAGAATGACTTTGAAATGTTTGAAGAATCAGAAATATCAGAAATGTTCAGAAATGATCTTCAATAGAGGTGATTCATGTTGTTCCCCACATTGACGTGTGGGGTGTTTGTTTTTAGTTCTGTATCCGCCGCCTCGCCCGCCCGTCCTCCTCCTCACTCCTCACTCACCTCACACACACACACACACACTCACTCACTCACTCACTCACTCACTCACTCACTCACTCACACACTCACACTCACACTCACACTCACACTCACCCTCTCACTCTCACTCTCACTCTCACTCTCACTCTCACTCTCACTCTCACTCTCACTCTCACTCTCACTCACTGACTCACTCACTCATTCACTCACTCACTCACTCATTTGCGTGGCAGGCGTGGGACAATGTGCATTGCCAAGGGGTCGGATGTACGCCCTGGCGTCCCTTGGGCTCCGCTTCTTTTGCGTGGCAGGCGTGGGACAATGTGCACTGCCAAGGGGTCGGATGTACGCCCTGGCGTCCCTTGGGCTCCGCCTCTTTTGCGTGGCAGGCGTGGGATGTGCATTTTGCGTGGCAGGTGTGGGACAATGTGCACTGCCAAGGGGTCGGATGTACGCCCTGGCGTCCCTTGGGCTCCGCCTCTTTTGCGTGGCAGGCGTGGGACAATGTGCATTTTGCGTGGCAGGCGTCGGACAATGTGCATTGCCAAGGGGTCGGATGTACGCCCTGGCGTCCCTTGGGCTCCGCCTCTTTTGCCTGGCAGGCGTGGGACAATGTGACAATTACATTTTGCGTGGCAGGCGTGGGACAATGTGCACTGCCAAGGGGTCGGATGTACGCCCTGGCGTCCCTTGGGCTCCGCTTCTTTTGCGTGGCAGGCGTGGGACAATGTGCACTGCCAAGGGGTGGGATGCACGCCCTGGCGTCCCTTGGGCTCCGCCTCTTTTGCGTGGCAGGCGTGGGACAATGTGCACTGCCAAGGGGTCGGATGTACGCCCTGGCGTCCTTGGGCTCCGCCTCTTTTGCGTGGGAGGCGTGGAACAATGTGCACTACCAAGGGGTCGGATGTACGCCCTGGCGTCCCTTGGGCTCCGCCTCTTTTGCGTGGCAGGCGTGGGCACTGCCAAGGGGTCGGATGTACGCCAGGCGTCCAGGGGTCGGATGTACGCCCTGGCGTCCCTCTCCGCCTCTTTTGCGTGGCAGGCGTGGGACGGGCAGGCGTGGGACAAGGGGCATGTACGCCCTGGCGTCCCTTGTGCTCCGCCTCTTTTGATAATGTGCATGTGCGCTGCCAAGGGGTCGGATGTACGCCCTGGCGTCCCTTGGGCTCCGCCTCTTTTGCGTGGCAGGCGTGGGATAATGTGCATTTTGCGTGGCAGGCGTGGGACAATGTGCACTGCCAAGGGGTCGGATGTACGTTTTGGCGTCCCTTGGGCTCCGCCTCTTTTGCGTGGCAGGCGTGGGACAATGTGCACTGCCAAGGGGTTGGATGTACGCCCTGGCGTCCCTTGGGCCCCGTCTCTTTTGCACAATGTGCACTGCCAAGGGGTCGGATGTACGCCCTGGCGTGCCTTGGGCTCCGCCTCTTTTGCGTGGCAGGCCTGGCAGATTGGTGTCTTGATTCGGACCATTCTGCTCAGGTCATGATGCTGGTCTATGGCACTTGGACCGCTCACTCACCCACTCACTCCCTCTCACTCCCTCTCACTCACTCACTCACTCATTCACTCCCTCCCTCCCTCCCTCTCTCCCTCCCTCACTCACTCACCCACTCACTCACTCACTTCACTTCACTTCACTCCACTCCACTCGACTCCACTCCACTCCACTCCACTCCGCTCCGCTCCACTCCACTCCACTTCACTTCACTTCACTTCACTTCACTTCACTTCACTTCACTCACTCTCGCATCCCTCGCTCACACCACTCACATCACTCACTCACACTCTCACTCACTCACTGTACATGAACATACATACATACATACATACATACATACATTACATTACATTACATTACATTACATTACATTACATTACATTACATTACATTACATTACATACATACATACATACATACATACATACACACAAACTCACCCACCATCACCGCTCCATCACTCTTATACTTCCTCTTCCCTTCTTGCTTGTCTATGCTCAGTCTAAGTCTAAAGAAGTTGGTAACATGTGGGGTTATCCGGTCCTTTAATTTTTTCAACATTTTTCAACTAGCAGCTCTCAATCAAAGCATCCTGAAAATTCCTTGGGCTCCTCCGTGGTGCTGAAGAGGGACGAGGTGCTGTCCCAGTCTTCTCTTTGCTCCTGCTATGCTGCTAAGCGAAGCTCATGAAACTTGAAAGATCCTGTAGGCCCCCTGCAACCATCAAAGTTCAGCCAACCCAGCTGTTCCGAGGCTCAGAACTGATGTCTGATCTTAGTTTTTCTCCGCGGCCTAAAAAGAACCACTCCAAGTTCTCGTTCCCTAAATGAAGCCGAAAAACTAACATTGCTATTCTCCCGAAGAAAAAATGCCAACAAAGCTATGGAACATTGGCACGTATAAATGATTTACCACGATTTACGTATTTCAAGTGGTGCTTTTCGAGAGCTATACGAAAGGGTAGTGAATACCATGATACCTCCAACAGCTGAACATGTTGGCCCTATGTTGGCGCATGTTGTGTCAAGTGACAACGGCTGCAGAGCACACCAATTTTCGCAACAAAACGCTGGCAATGCCGCATAACATGGCATCACATGGCATCAGATGGCATCACATGCCTATCAATATCAATGACAGATCATCACAGATCTATATAGATCTATGGCGTCATTTTTTTGCACTCTCCACGCTGGGTATAAAGAACATGGTTGGCATCGTCGAGGCATGCCCGGGCAGCACAGTTGGCGATATCGCAAACTGCTCCTCGGCCACCTCCTGCAGTGTCCGCGGAAGAGGAAGTCATCAGCAAAGGAGTACCCCTCCAGAAAACATGGTTGATCACTTAGACTTTGAAGCTTACAGAATCAGTTGACATCAGTTGACCTATTGCTGGGACAATATGAAGAAATGCTGAATACATCTCAGAACCAGTAGGAGTCAGTGCTGAAATTCTCTCAATGCCAAGTCTGGGAGGCACAGGTTCCACTAGTGCCATTCGACAGATCTCAACCCTCAATATTTGCACGCTCCTCTCATCACGCATTTGACCGCAGCATGGACCATCATTCCGCGCACGACAATGTCAGGTACATGCAATAGGCCAGAAGTCGCCACTGCAACGTCTATTGTGGCCTCGTCTATCGTTGACTCATCTGAGAGGCTGCTTGCTGATAGTGAATGGTACTCTGGCAGGATCTTCTCAAGGTGGCTGCAGGCTTTATCTGATACTTCTTCCAAGTAGGAGAAGTTCATGAGTGCTCGTCGGTCTGGATGGTCTGGAGGTTTATACCAACCATTTACAAAGCAGTACACGTCATCCAGGGGATATCCATGATCGCGAGTTCTTAAAGTGCGACCGTCAGAAAATGTGAGGGTCACAGGTGATGCCGTGTCGCGGTTCATTCGATCCGCCAAATCACTTTCATACCTTTCGCCAAGGATTCTGCTGCGTTGCAGGTCAACAAGAAGCAAAAAAAATACAGACCAGAGGGTTCAAGCTGCAGATTATCAAAAGCAAAACCGAAAATTGGGATGTCGAAATTTCTAGTCCAGATATGTCCAGACCATCCCCCATCAGCTTAAGTAGTCTGTGGCAAGCAACTGCTGGATATAGGGAATGATATCGCGGCTCTTTCGACTGACCGAACAATTGCTGGACCATCCTCCCATAGACCCCAAGAGGCACCAACCATCTTCGCCGTAGTGTTGAATGATCTCTTCCAAGGGTCGAGTCCAGGCCTGTCTTTTTGGGTCAAGAGATGTCAAGAGTCAAAACAGTCCGAAATCGCTGGGAATTATGGATGTGAATAACCCCTCCTATGGAAAATCGGGTCTTGATCCATCCCCGATAGCCACCTGTCCCGGCATCTGTCCTCCGGAACCCCCTTTGCGTCCGGTATGACTTGGGACAAGCAAATGCCGGCTTTTCTTGAAGCAGGATCAGCCAGGGGTTGAAGTGCTATCACTGGCCGACTCGTCAGGTTGTTTCCTTTCTTTCTGCGAGCCTCACTTGATGTTTGTAGCAAGTGGCAGCCGCGGTCAGCCTGTCAACGCGTGGCAAGACCAAAAAACACCAGAAAGTCGGAAGACTAAGCCAGTATGTATGGATCGATGGACGGATGGACGGATGGACGGATGGACGGATGGACGGATGGACGGATGGACGGATGGACGGATGGACGGATGGATGGATGGACGGATGGACGGATGGACGGATGGACGGAGGTAGGTAGGTAGGTAGGTCGGTAGGTCGGTAGGTCGGTAGGTCGGTAGGTAGGTAGGTAGGTACATGCATGCATGCATGCATGCATGCATGCATGCATGGCTGTATGTATGTGTCTGTATGTACGTATGTATGCATGCATGCATGTATGTATGTATGTATGTATGTGTATATGTTTATAGTTTATGTATATGCATATGTATAAGTATATGTATCTGTATATGTATATGCATATGCATGTGTATATGTGAATGTGTGTGTATGTGTGTGTGTATGTGTGTGTATGTGTGTGTATGTGCGTATGTGTGTGTGTCTATGTATTTGTCTATGTGTATGTATATGTCTATGTACATGTGTATGTATCTGTGTATGTGTATGTGTATATGTATATGTGTGTATGTGTATATATGTATATGTGTATATGTGTATATGTGTGTATGTGTATATGTGCATATGTGTATATGTGTATATGTGTACGTGTATGTGAATGTGGATGTGTATGTGTATGTGTGTATGTGTGTATGTGTGTATGTTTATGTCTATGTCTATGTATATGTGTATGTGTATGTGCATGTATATGTATATGTAAATGTATATGTATGTAAATGTATATGTAAATGTATATGTATTTGTAAATGTATATGTATATGTATATGTTTGTGTGTTTTTAAATTTAAATGTATGTGTATATATATATGTATGTATGTATATGTATATGTAAATGCAATTGTATCTGTGTATGTATATGTGAACGCAAATGTAAATGTGTATGTATATGTAAATGCATATGTATACGTATACGGGACCTAGTTTCAAGTATGGCTGCTGCAATGAAGACTTGGAATGGGGGGCTTTCAATATTGACTGACAGGGACTTGGTGTGTACTGGAAGGCCGTTTTCAGCTTGGGAATTTTGACTGCCAGGGACTTGGTTTGTACTGGAAGGCCGTTTTCAGCTGGGGGCCGACACAGCTCTTTCATGATCAGTTACCGGTGGGGTGGGGTGAGTTAATAAGGTTCATGTTCCTATGCCAGCACACGCACAGCAACCTCATCATCTTCCCCGTGGGGTGGGGGGGGTGGGGGTGGGGTGGGGTGGGGTGGGGTGGGATGATAACGTTCATGTTCCTATGCACACACAGGCACAGCAACCTCATCATCTTTCTTGCTTTTGAGAAGAGACAGGCACAGCTCTTTCATGATCAGTTACCGGTGGGGTGGGGTGAGTTAATAAGGTTTATGTTCCTATGCCTGCACACGCACAGCAACCTCATCATCTTTCTTGCTGTAGAGCACTTACACGCACTGCTCTTTCATGATCAGTTACCGGTGGGGTGGGGTGGGGTGGGATGACAACGTTCATGTTCCTATGCACACACAGGCACAGCAACCTCATCATCTTCTTTCTTGCTGTTGAGAAGAGACAGGCACAGCTCTTTCATGATCAGTTACCGGTGGGTGGGGTGAGTTAATAAGGTTCATGTTCCTATGCCTGCACACGCACAGCAACCTCATCATCTTTCTTGCTGTAGAGCACTTACACGCACTGCTCTTTCATGATCAGTTACCCGTGGGGTGGGGTGGGGTGGGGTGGGATGATAACGTTCATGTTCCTATGCACACACAGGCGGTCAACATAACCCTTATGTATGTCAACAACTTGACCACTCAGTTCAGTAAATAAAAAGAAACCGTCAAGGGATGTTCCAAAGGGTGTTGTTGTTACATCACCTTGCCACCTTAGAAACCTTCCAGAAAAAACCAAGACAGGCAAAACCGAAAACACTCAGCGGAGTTGTCTCAAGATTTTGTTTGATGTTCTGGAAGTCTCTCGTCAATACCTCCGAGTGTCTACCGCAACGAGACACTGCGCAGAGCACAAGGATCGCGTAGAGGGAGAGCAACACAGTGGA